TGAAAGGACGTTGTATTTCACCTCTGGTGCAAGCGCCATTCGAATTTGACTTGCTGCCTTCTTTTGGATAGTACTCCAATCACTATCCTTCATCTCAGCCGGCTTGGTCTCTTCTAAAGCTGCATCAAGTCCTTGACAAGTAAGGACATCCTTCACAGTGCTTTGCCATAGAGCAAAGTCATTCTTGCCATCAAATAGCTCAATTGAATACTTCATGGCTTCAATTTGCATTTCACCACAACACCAGGAGTTCTACCAATAGCTCTGAGACCACTTGTTGGGAATTTCGAGCACCGCAATCCCACACAAACGGAAGCAATAAAGAAATTGAGACAATAATTTAACGTGGTTCGACTTCTACACTTCTCAACAAGTCTACATCCACGAGAAAGAGAGAAATAAATCCACTATTAAGAAAAAAAGAGTACAATAATTAAGAAGCTCTCTCACTCAAGAAGCACTCAACACCCTAGCTTCAATGTATAGAAGCTCCCAAATTCTCCCTAATACTCCCTCTTAATCTACACAAGGATTTCTCACAATTTCTCTCTTTCTTTTCTCTCACAAGAGCTTTCACTCAATTTCTCTTGCTTTCTCCTACTCTTGCTTGCCCATTGCCTTTGCATGCATGAGTATTTATAATGAAAAATCCAACTACCCATGCATCATTTTTCTTTGCCTCGTTCCTACCCGGCCAAGATTTTCTTTGCCCATTAAATGGCTCAACATGCAATCTTTGAAAGATTTCAACAAATCAATCTAGCCCACAATTGGCTTATAGGTCGGTGAAGCAAACTTCCACATGGAAAGTCCATGTGTTCACATGCAAAGTCCATGTGTTCACATGCATGGGGTTGGACTTTCTTCCAACACTAACAATTTCTCATTGTTACTATTTGTACTCTTTCTAAGAGAAAGATCATGGATATATTCACTAATGTTTTTGACATCCTCGATTTGTTAGTCTTTTTGTAAGATAAGTGTTCCTTCAATTATAACTTTTTATTAGAAGCTACTAGCTTCTAGCCTCTACATATCATTCTTGTAACAAAGATATTTAACATCTTCTTATAAATTGGTGTTGCAGGGTGCTAAACTTGCTACTGATGAAGTAAGAAGTGCATCAGCTTTAGCAGCTTGTAGAACATTGGCTGAAGAGCTCTCTAAATTACGGTTTCCAACTCCTCGGATCCTCGCATTCAAGGTTTTTCTTCTCCCTTTATTATGCATTTCTTGCCATTCCCCTCCTCCATCTCCCTTTCGTTTTTTGTTTCATTTTCTATAGTAGTTTAAAAGTTTAATTGTCTGCATTTATAATAGGAAGGGAGCTTACAAGCTTGATATTTTAATTCTCAGTTGATTCTAGCACACATAGATCCTCTATACGAGTAGGTGAATCAAAATATAGCATGAAAGCCTTTAATTTTTTTAATGCAAAAAATCCATTTCCATTGCTCGTTTCTTTAGCTGCAAATCTTGTTGCAAATTGAGTGCTTGATGAGCTTAGGAAGTCATTATTAAGTTACTTGTTGAGAGATTTTAACTATAGAAGACCTTTGTAGGAGGCAAGATTCCCACAACTTAAATCCTTAACAACAAAACAACGAATAAAACTGAAAAGTAGCTTTCTTCATTTTGATGATCTTAGTTTCTATGAATGGATGCAAAACCTGAAAGCAATTCTACCAGAACCAAGCTAAGAATGATGATGCTGTTATTTGCCTTGTAGCTATTGTTCTTCCCCTTGAAGGGAGTCCTTTGAGTTACATTGGTCCAACCAACATTTATTGGAAGCTGGCTCTCCTCTTCCATTTCCTTCTTCCAGCCAATTGTAACTCAAATTCTTTTTCTTTCTTGATTTCCCCAATATTTCCCTCTTAGTTTTTAGTTTTAGCGAAGCATTCATACTTAACAGTAATCCAAAAGCTTAATTCTTATGAAGTCCAATTGTATTTCTGGGGTTAGGGTTTTGAGCAAATGGAAAACAAATAAAAGAATACTCATTGTTGGGTGCAAAGATGCAATTCATCCTTGAACTTTGTTCCCACTCCATGTTGATCTCTACAATTTCTTTTGGCAGAATCGATATGTATAGCCTATAAAATTTTGGTATTATAACTTAAAGGAAATCTTATTTTACAACTTATACTGTATCAGATTATAAAATAAGAATCATTGAATAGAGGATAAGGCCCTAATATTAAGGCATAATTCTCATTTAATAGTTAATATAGTGTAGTTTGATACAATCTAGACCATACTATACTTTTTCATTAATTTAAAGCCATAAGACTTGATTTGAAATGCATTATTGAAATGCATCACCCTCTCTTTCCTTTACTCACCTCATGTGTATGTTTTATGATTTGAACTCAGAGACTTTTTGTTCCACTGAGAAGATAGATTATATTAGATTGTTTGAGTTGTTTACTCTTGTATTGAAATTAAAAAGGCATTATTTGCAATATTTACAAAACCATAAAATTATTTCACTGCAAATGACAGGTTCTGATGCTGAATAATCATGTGGCATGACATCTAAAGTTCAAATGTTGCACATAAAAAATTACTATAGTAGAATGGCGAGATGTAAAAAATTGGAATCAACGAAGGACAAGAAATAACCAAATTGTGGGGAATTCATTGTTTATTTTTAAAATTTAGGGACCAGTAAAGAATTCGGCATAAACTTTAAATCCGCGGCTGGAAAGGCTAAATATAATGTTTGGTTGACTTATTATTTTTAATTGTAAAATAATTTTTAGTTGGCAATCAATCCATCTATAGAGGATGGCCAGTTGACTTGCTATTATTACATATGAGTTTATTTTCTTCAAATTAATATTGAAAATTCACAAATCCTATCAAAGTAATATATTCATCAATGTTTCACAAGCTTTTATTACAAATATCTAAATTAGCGGCTAGTTGACACCACATTGATAAAGACATCACATGTGTCAAGAAATCTAAATATAAATAATTAAATGCAATGACTAAAAGATTGAAAAATTATCAATAGTCTAAAATGAAGGAAATGAAGAAAGCAAAAAACTTAAAGTCGATTGGGTTATGTGGTGCCGTATGGTTATTAGCGTGGAATTTACGTGAAAGTCTAACCAAACTTTGCATGTCCAAATACAAAAAATTAAAATGTGTTTTAACGAGTTGAATCATCAAATAATTAAGATATATATTCCATCAAAATTTTATAAAGGCTTAAGTATTGGAAAAGGACCCCAACTTTTACTAAATTCTCAATTGAGGTCCTCAACATTTATTATGCTTAATCAAGGTCTCAAACTCATGCAAACTCTCAAATAAGGACTCAATTGGATAGAATCCTAAGTCCTAACCGTCTGTTAAGTCTAACATGACCCGTTATAATCCGTTACAGCCCTCAACATGTGGCATGCCGACTGGACCCATAATGCTGACAGTAAAAAAATTGTCCAACATGGCATGTTGTGATAGATCTTTTTGACAAGGTGGATCCCACAAGACTCCTTTTACTTTCCCATCTTTGACTATTTAATACTTATTTAATATAAAAACCCTAAAACTTTTGTTTGTAACTAGGTCAATAAAAAACAACTTTTGAGAATTTTAAAAAGTTTTTGAGGTTTTTACTGGTTGGTGAGATCTTTTAAACAACTTTCTTTTATAATTTTGTATGGATTCAACAGCATACAAGTACAATTATATGATTTTATTTGAGTTTTTCAATAATTTTAATATATTTATTAATTTTTGAATTTATTTTTTATTTAAACTTTTAG